TTCCCATCGCATATCAGCTCTGAGAGGAGTTTATTTTAAATAAAAATTAAGAAAATATTCCAAAAGTGGAAATAAAATGCCTAATGGGTATAGAATAGTCTAGTGGGTATAAAGTGATTAATGGGTAGAGTTAGGTGTAGGGGAGGGCTTTTGTGGACAGGGACAAGTTAAATAATTTGAATAAATACAATCATTTTTATAATATACCGGTACTATAACATATTGAGGTGCAAATAATATCTGCCACTATTTGCACTATGTATAAATGGCATCTTACTGTTGTTTACTGAAAATACTGCTTTTTTCACTTAGTGTTAATAAAATACTTTGTTGCTTTTTACACTGTGTAAATTGCATATATCGCTGCCTTTGTTTATATGTGGAGGAATAACTGCTAAGCAGTGCTTCCCTCACATGGGACACTACATTTTATGTTTTTACTATACATTATAATTTTTTTTGTATTTGTATTGCAGTCTCTGCAGTGTGATGGGCCACTCTCTCTCTTCATGCTCCACTCCACTAGTTTCTCTCTTTTCTCAACATCTGCACGCAGGAGATTCTATCCAGAGGTGTTTCTTACACTAATTAATAGCAACATCTTTTTTTCAGCACATATTTCTACCCCATGTCTATTAACTTTTATTTTAAATGTGCCCCCATAAATGTTTTGCTTAAGTTGACTGACATCAGCACGTGTTTAAAAAACCCCTCACTATCTGTGTCACCAGCATGTTTACATGTTTTTCTAACAGACGTTTCCACCGTTGATGTATTTGCTTCAGGTTTCGTTTTGCCTCATGACAGACCACCAGGAGTTTATGGTATTAGAGTGTTGCAGCTGACCCATTGTTACTCATAAGCCACTTACTCAGGACTTTTTGTAGATTTGAAAGGACTGAATTCTTATAATGTGGTAATCCCAGGTTTACAGTAATGGCGTAAAAATAAACTCACTTTAGTTCAGTTGAGCTTCCACCCAGGGTCTAGGGAGGTAAATATCATGTCATGTTGGTTTGGAGATGTATTAGCACATGTTTTGAGATATGCATTGTGCCTCTGTCACACAAGGCTTAATTATGAACTGTATTCAGATGTTTAAACGGTATTCTGCTGCTCTGTTCCACTTTCTCCTTAATACTCTGTGTTTACTGGACTTGGATACAATGTAATACTCATTTCATTATTGTCTCATGACCTAATAATGATATATTAAAAAGAATTTATATTATTATTGGCTGTAGAATGTATTTATTTATTGGGCTGTAAGGGGTGTGGTAATATTGATAACTCTTTAAGCTAATTTTTTCACAAATTATTTATTAAAAATAAATATAACTACATATTGATTGACAGCTTATTTTACCTATTTTCCTTAAGGATGGTTTACTTTGATACCATTAGCTGCTCTTTAACAAACTATTTAACTTTCTTTTGGCATTTACAAAGTGATCAGGTAACAAGCACAGTGACAATAATATTGCTTTAAAATACACTAACAGCTTTATATAATGCACAAACTCAGCTGTCTAAACAATGAGTTATCCGCGTAATAGATCAAATGAACTCCACCAGTGATGTGTATGTGTACTTTGCAGCCAACAAATGCACTTGACCGTTTGTTTCACTAATGTGCAATGCTGAAACAGTCAAACAACCTAGCTAATTCTCCGCATAGTTGGATAAGAAAGGTGGTTAAAGGACAAGTTTGGTGTTTTACACGCATGATGACACATTTTGACACATGCCGCTGTCCCGAGAAATTTCGGTTTCTGTGGTTGCACCACCCCCCCACCTCCACAATGGTTGCATAGGTGCACAGAAACAATCCTTCCTAAAATGTATTAAACTTTACAAAGACGTTAAACTCACCGAGTGGTCAGGGGTGTTCACTGATATACTCACACAAAAATCGCTGAAAAAGATGCTTTCCAACAGGTTTTATCGTAGTTTTTGAACAACTCCATTTGAGTGGCAGGCACATATAACGGTGACGGGTCGAGTGGCAGGCACACATAACGGAGACGGGTCGAGTGGCAGGTCAAGTGGCGATTTAACGGTGATTGGTTAAGTGGCAGGCACATATAACGGTGACGGGTTGAGTGGCAGGTCAAGTGGCAGGCACATATAACAGTGACGGGTCGAGTGGCAGGTCAAGTGGCCGGCACATATAACGGTGACGGGTCGAGTGGCAGGTCAAGTGGCCGGCACATATAACGGTGACGGGTCGAGTGGCAGGCACATATAACGGTGATTGGTTAAGTGGCAGGCACATATAACGGTGACGGGTCGAGTGGCAGGTGCATATAACGGTGGCGGGGTGTTCACTGATATGCTCACACAAAAATCGCTGAAAAAGATGCTTTCCAACAGGTTTTATCGTAGTTTTTGAACAACTCCATTTGAGTGGCAGGCACATATAACGGTGACGGGTCGAGTGGCAGGCACACATAACGGAGACGGGTCGAGTGGCAGGTCAAGTGGCAGGCACATATAACAGTGACGGGTCGAGTGGCAGGTCAAGTGGCCGGCACATATAACGGTGACGGGTCGAGTGGCAGGCGCATTTAACGGTGACGGCAGGGACATAATGGTGACTGGTCGAGTGGCAGCAGTCCCTAACGGTGATGGGTTGAGTGACAGATCGAGTGGCAGCGGCCCCTAACGGTGACGGGTTGAGGGATTGGCTAAGTGGTAGGCACATATAACGGAGACTGGTCGAGTGGCAGGTCAAGTGGCAGGCACATATAACAGTGACGGGTCAAGTGGCCGGCACATATAACAGTGACGGGTTGAGTGGCAGACACATATAACGGTGATTGGCTAAGTGGTAGGCACATATAACGGAGATTGGACGGCACATACAGTGACGGGTCGAGTGGCAGGTCAAGTGGCCAGCACATATAACGGTGACGGGTCGAGTGGTAGGCACATATAACGGAGATTGGAAGGCACATATAACGGACGGAGATAGGCCGAGTGGCAGGTCCAGTGGCAGGCACATATAACGGTGATTGGTTAAGTGGCAGGCACATATAACGCTGACAGGTCGAGTGGCAGGCACATATAACGGTGACGGGTCGAGTGGCAGGTGCATATAACGGTGGCGGGTCGAGAGGCAGGTCAAGTGGGCAGGCACATATAACGGACGGAGATAGGCCGAGTGGCAGGTCCAGTGGCAGGCACATATAACGGTGATTGGTTTAGTGGCAGGCACATATAACGGTGACGGGTCGAGTGGCAGGCACATATAACGGTGACGGGTCGAGTGGCAGGTGCATATAACGGTGGCGGGTCAAGTGGGCAGGCACATGTAACGGTGACGGGTCGAGTGGCAGGTCAAGTGGCAGGCACATATAACGGTGACGGGTCAACTGGCAGGCACATATAACAGTGACGGTTCGAGTGGCAGGCACATATAATGGTGATTGGCTAAGTGGTAGGCACATATAACGGAGACGGGTCGAGTGGCAGGTCAAGTGGCGATTTAACGGTGATTGGTTAAGTGGCAGGCACATATAACGGTGACGGGTTGAGTGGCAGGTCAAGTGGCAGGCACATATAACAGTGACGGGTCGAGTGGCAGGTCAAGTGGCCGGCACATATAACGGTGACGGGTCGAGTGGCAGGTCAAGTGGCTGGCACATATAACGGTGACGGGTCGAGTGGCAGGCACATATAACGGTGCTGGTTAAGTGGCAGGCACATATAACGGTGCAGGCACATATAACGGTGATTGGTTAAGTGGCAGGCACATATAACGGTGACGGGTCGAGTGGCAGCTGCATATAACGGTGGCGGGGTGTTCACTGGTGTGCTCACACAAAAATCGCTGAAAAAGATGCTTTCCAACAGGTTTTATCGTAGTTTTTGAACAACTCCATTTGACTGGCAGGCACATATAACGGTGACGGGTCGAGTGGCAGGCACATATAACGGTGACGGGTCAAGTGGCAGGCACATATAACGGTGACGGGTCGAGTGGCAGGCACGGCCCCTAACGGTGACGGGTTGAGTGACAGGTCGAGTGGCAGCTCCCCCTGCCACGCAGAGATTTTACCATCTCTCAGTTTGTGTAAATTCTCACTCCAAGCTGAACTCAAAAGTTGGCAGTATGTACCAAAAGTATATGTATGTACCATGGTACATACATATAACCTAGGAATCTCCTATTTTTCTTTTAAATCTTGTTCTTTTTCTTTATTTCCCTGCATTACACTTCTGCTCAAACATACAATTGAAAGTTGGATATTATTAGTCATGCTAAATTACTTGCACTGTTCCTCATTTCTAAGATACTTTGCATAAGTGTCTGCTAAATGAATAGATGTAAATCTAATTATTTTGTTGGTATTTTTTTTGTCAAAAGGAAACACCCTGTGAAATACCATGCATATTAATACACACCTTTTTATGACCTCTAATAATCCCAATGATTAACAATAACAATTCACAGGAGACAATGAACTTTTTCTTTTATTTATTACAAATGTACAGCTTACGAGTCTTTATTACGATTTAAATGGTTTTGCTTAGTCTTTTTATTTAAATTCTATATCTTACAGGTAGCCTCTGCTAAACAAATTTCTCCCATCAGCTAATCTCTCATGTAAGAACAAGTGATAACGAAAGTCGTAACAAGTACAGTGCAGCTAGTATGACAGATCATGGAAGAGAGAGAGTGTGTGTGTGTGTGCATTAGTTTTTAAAAATGATTTCGCCATGTATGCATCTGCAGCAGGATGACTGGGAAAATGTCTACCTACTACCTTGAAAGGAATCAGATTCAGAGTTAGATATATAGTGTGCATTGACTCCCTTTCCCAGATACCTCTCTGAATTTAGTGCTTATTAAATAATATCCCAATCTCTTTCTCCCAAGTCATCATCACAGTAAGCCATCACCCAGTGACCGTTCCTGACATGTTTAGTTGAAAACGAAAAAGAAACATACTTATGCATACACGGTTTTTACTCACCATGTGCTTCTAGTGTGGAAGAGAGATTAAAATCAGTCTAGCAGATGTGCAAAGGCAATGATAAGAGATTTTCAGACAATCTTTTTGACACATTTTCAGGGGACGCAAACATTATCCCATTCCCCAAGTTAAAGAAACAAAAGGCAAAAACAAACAAAAAAATGGCTTAACTTAAAAGGCTGGTGGGTAAAACCGATATGGAAAACCACAGGAAGATTAAGGCCCATAGCATGACATCTAAAATGCAAAGTGACTGTACAACAAATACTTGATCGTGCTCACACGCAGATGTGGCATCAAGCCTCAGGTGGAGAAACGTTCATCTACATGTGCGTTGGTACTGGAAGCTCCAGTTCAATTCCTCTTCCCATGAACATCGATATAACAAGGGGGTCATTCCCCCACCAAAGTGACCGCGATCACACCGACTTATGCCACAGAATGTGACTACGCTGGTCCTGATGCAGCAGATGGACATCACATGTTTTCCCTGTGACTGTATCTGAAATGTTAGTGATGAGAACATTGATAGTGGTCATCTTCAACCATCAACATTCACATGTTTGTAGCTTATAGAACATAAGGATCTTCTTACATTTAATAAACACATATGCTTGATTAAAAAAAATTATGAAATTTAAAGAACGGCGTGAAATCAAAATCAAATATTCTCAAATAGAAAACAAAAAAAACCACCACACACACAAAAAAAAGCCTGGTCCTGAAGTGAAGAGTCGTCTTTACTCCGCTAAACTGATGAAGGCCATTCGATTCAGTCAATAATGTGCAGAAAATGAAGACATGGTGTCTTGTCCTAATCTAATAAGCTGAAGACAATGTGATGATTGTGCCAACACATTTGCATTGTTCTGATAGCAAAACCCATTAATGTTGGGATTGAGATGAGATGAGAGGAGCCAGGATGAGATCCGGCGAGCCTTTTCTGTACATCAACCCCAACTGTTGTCTTTGTGCTCAAAAAAAAAAAAAAAAAAAAAAAAGAGGGACCAGCAACTGTAGTGTCATCACTTCCCTCTGCTCCTTTGGCTAGTGTTCAACGCACTTCGACAAAAAAAAAAGAATGTAGTATATATTGTAAAACACTGTGTGAGTGAACCAGTGGTTCTACCACTGGAGGACGGGAGTGTTCTGGTTAGTTTTCACAGGTTATTGTTCACCCCTGTTAATGTTCGCAAAGCTCTGTGTGATTTCCACTTGACAAACCGAAACAAAAATCAAAAGAAGACATCAATAATGGTAACAATAATGCGAAACATAAGTCATAGTCATTAAAATAACTCCAGTGTTGTTGTTTAAAGTCAGTACATTTGTCCCAAGAGAAACAGGCCAATGGAGCGGCACTTAAAAACATCAAATGAGAGAGAGAGAGAGAGGAAAAACTGAAAATAAACAATTCAGGAGGAACATTTCAGGTTCTCTGATGTTAGGAGTGCTTGAGTATTTCACAAAGAGAACCAAACAGTAGCCATCAGCACTGAGTTGTGGGTCTGCTTGTGTAGTGTTGTCATGTGTAGACGAGAGAAGATCCTCCTGAAAAACAGAACTGAAAGAAGAAAAGGAGTGCAAGGAAAACCAGGCCGCTCCATTCGGCTTCTCCCAAATTTTCCACATCTCTGCGTCCGGGTGGCCAAAGCTGGATTGATCACCCATACATTAGACTTTTCTTTTCTCATCTTCGTTCCCTCACATCATTTTTCTATCTACCTGACCAACGATTCCCAGCCGTCAGTTTTTACTTAGTGTCCTCCTCCTCTCCCGTTTCTCAGTCTTTGCCCGGTTGGTCACTGTTTTTTCTCGCGGGTAGTGATGGTGACCAGCTGCTTGGCAGCTTTGGCGATGTCGTAGGCGCACTGGATGACCTGCTGGGTGAGCAGCTGGTAGTCCACTGTGCTGGTCGACGAGTCGGAGGGCGCCGCTTTACGGCACTCTACCTGCAGGCGGGACGCACTGGCCCCCAGGAGCTTCAAGGAGGAACGTACTGCATCCAGCGCTGGTCTCTGAGAGAAGCAGACACAACAGATTTAGTGCGTCTGGCTGGATATCTTGAGGCAAAGTATCACCAGAAGACGCATTCACTCACCTTGGGAAACAGCGAGGCCATTTCTGTCACAGCTAAGTGGATTTTCTCTGAGCATGGCACAAAACTGCAACCAAAGACAGATGTTACAATGGGTTTCTTTCAAACTGCAGCAAAACGACACTGCAACCAGCTGTGAGGGGTAACAGTCCATCCTACCTGTCGTGTTTAAACTCCTGTGCAGCTCTCAGGAGCTCCTGGATGTTCTTGGTGACCTGCTCAGTTTTGAGGATGACGTCCTCTGTGCAGGGCAGTGTGGGGTCAGGGTCACCCTCTGTGTCTTCCACGTCCCCCCTGCTGTCCTCCTCGCTGCTGCGGCCCACACTACAACACACCATATGGACACACATGCACACAATAAAAACAATACAAAAGGCATGAAATGTATCGTCAGTGGGTTTTTAAGTTACAAGTAGCTTAGTAATAACTAATTGTTTTTATAACTAATTTAAAAAGTAAGACAAATATATTACTATTTTACTATAACATATTTGTAATAATTATAATAATAATGTATTACTTATTACGCTTTTACTTCCAAAATTTTTTATTTTTTATAATAACGGTTAATACTTATTATATTGCATCATATTATATAGCAGTATCTTATTTATTTTTTAGAAGAGAAATATATATTACTATGCTGTAAAAAATAAATGAACATTCTAATAGTATTACTAATGCTAATATTATTATTAGAGGCAGTATTAAAAGTAATAGAGTAAAACAACACTAATATAACAATAAAAAGACAAATATATTACTTTTTACTGTAAAATAAAAAAATAATTAACAATACAAATATACCACTTTTGTAATTACTAGTGTAATCCCTCAAATAATTAAATAAGTTATTTTAACTATTTTTTTATAATTAGTAATTACAGATATTTCATATTATGTAGTGTCTACTTTTTTAGATTTATTACAAAAATAAACAAATATATTACTCTTATGATTATGAAAAAATTATATTATATAAATATGTGAATTAATATATTCATGTTAATTAACTTTTACTAATTTATATAAATATATCAAAAGTACAACAGTAATACTTTAATAGCAATACATTTCTTCATGCGTTAAGGGCCGTTCACACCAAGAACGATAACTATACAGATAACTATATCAGCCTCCACACCAGCAGACGAGGCTGTGTTTATTCGAAGCGCACTACAGTTGTCGTATGCCACTTTAAAAGCTCAAGCTCTTTAAAGCAGGATGGATTCTGATTGGCGGTCAATGTTTTTAATCAATCATCAGCTAGAAAAAAAAAAATCTGAAAGTGATTCCAAGGATATAGTTCCTCTGTGCAGTTATCGTTACAGTTGTGGTTTGGAATATTCTTTTATATTTAGAACTATATCTTATCGTTATAGAATTCGTCCTTGGTGTGAATGGGCCTTTAGACCCAGTTAGACAGTTTTTGCAAATGAAATGCAGTAAACCTCTGTCCACAAAAATGCATCAAATTACACTAATGTATTAAAGACACTGAATCCGCTCTGCTTTGTTTTCAACGGTGGCTTGCACTCACCCAAAGGAGACATCGTATGTTTGAGAGTTGTCATAGTCACTATCAGTACCACTCCCGTATCTCTCTCCTGCTTTTGGAGTCTGGACAGGACAAACATGCGCAGAGGTCTGTTACACATCACAGTCTGCAACTCGCATGTCAGTGCATATATGAATGGAAACTGGCACTCACATTATATCGTCCGTCAGTGGAGGCTGACAGGTGCGGTCCTCCGTAGGGGGTGGGACCCGCAGGGCCTCCCCTTCGCACCTAAACACAAGCAGAACCAGATTAAGACGAGGAGAAAAGCTGACAAGACAGTCAGCAGGCAGAGGATGAAAAGAAAAGAAGCCTTGATAGTCTTTCCTGCACAGGACTGTTAGATGGAAGGAAATCTGCAGCAAAAACGCTGTTATACTAATGAGTGTAATTCTGTTAGACAAATAGCTTAGTGTAGCGGTTTTAGATATTGCAGTTGCAGAACAGCAAGCTTCTACATTAAGCTCAAAAGCAAAACTGAATTAGTGCAATGACGTCCTTTTCTCTGAACTAATGAAAATACTAAAAATAGACACTCGCACATTACATTGCTTGGAAAACTGTGCAGTTAACAGGCACAAAGGTGCATCTCAAATACATTAACCATGACTAATAAAAAAAAAAAAATAGGACTACTACACACTTTCAGAAATAGCCCAAAAATGGAATATTGCATAATCAAAACATGGCATATTTGCATAATTGCAAAAGCAATTGAAGCAAAACAAAACAATGCATTCAAAAGACATTCAAATATATCCTACAGATCTAAGAATATCCACAAACAGAGGATGATTTCTAGTTTCAGCGCTGACAGGAGCAACACATCGATTCAGTGCCCTATACAAGAAATCACTTCCTTTAGCGATGTGGCATGCGGTTTTAGTGTCACTAATCAGGAAACCAATAAATCAAATTTCAAACATTCCAGACACGTCACGTTGCACAAGACAAGCATATCTCAATGAGAGCCTCTCTTGGCATATTAACCATTTTAGGAAAGATACAATGCAACTCATGCCAGTTCTATCATCCTATGCTATATCGACAATATATAGTGGTTGTGTCTCAAAATGTATTGAGCTGCCTACCTAAGCAGCCTTTTTGAGCATCATAGGCAAACCTGGTATTAACATCCGTTTTGGGTGAGCAAAGACAGATTGTGATCAGATTTTATTGAGAGGAGGGTTTTGTGATAATAATAACCACATTACATGAACAATTCTGCATGTTAAAGGGATAGTTCACCCAAAAATTAACATTTTGTCATCACTCACCCTCAAGTTGTTCCAAATCTGTATGAGTTTGACAGTTGATGCACCCCATTGACTTCCATATAAGGAAAAAAATGCTATGGAAGTCAATGGGGTGCATCAACTGTTTGGTTACCAACATTCTTTAAAGTATCTTCTTTTTGTGTTCAACAGAAGAAAGAAACTCGTACAGGTTTGAAACAACTTCTGAACTATTCCTTTAATAAATCTAGGGAATTGTTTGTGAAGGGCGATGATATCTTCTCTTAACTTTTTGGACCATTCTTTTGACTTAGCCATATTTCTAACATACAGTCAAACGTGGCACTCAACAAACCTAGTCAGTTCAGATATTTCATGTGTTCTAGTTCAAGCACACCTTCTGCAACTAATGAAGCCCTTGATTAGTTGCTTCAGGTGTGCTTGAAGGCCAATTCAAACCGCACAGACAAATGCCAACAAACACCAACAAACAATTTGGCTGTTGGATTTAGACTTTCATGAAAAATAACTGTCATGTTCACACTGCTCCAACAGACACAGACAAACACTGATTGAACATGTTCAGTTGGGTGAAATCAAACCCCGACCAACAGCAACAGGGGTAACACACTGATCCGACAAAACCCAACAGACGTGTGCAATGTGAATTGGCCTTGAGACAACACCTGTTTTGCAGATTTGTGCTGTTATGAGGAATTGTATTAAGGTGTTTGAATAATTTTGAGACTGCAGAAGGTCTTTATACACCATTGAAAACATAGTTATGTATATGATATTGCATTTCTGTCAACAGATCCTCCTAAATATTACACAGTGTACTTTTAAGATATTCACATTTAGCACAGTACTAAAGATAATCAAAATTTTAGCTAGTCCACCTATGATCAAATTATTGAAGACAGTTGTTGATACCAGGTGTAAAAGAGACCCATAATGACCAAAAATTCTGTCTATTTAGGCGGCTGACTCAGTTTGGAGACAGCCAATATCTACAAAAAGAAAGGTGTTATCAGGGCAGGAAGTGCCCCTGTCTGTCCATAAGGTGGCGGTAGAGAGCAGTGAGTAATAGTGAAAGCAGGTGCTCCAGGCAAAAGCAGCACATCAGTGTGGGTTCAGGTAAGTAGAGGGAGAGAGTGAGTATAAAGTATAAAAAGATCAGGCCGGCCACTAATGCTCACACTTACGGGGCTGAGAGGCAGCAGGCGGCCCGTCAGGGGGTCCAGGGTTGGGGTGAGAGCTTTGGGGGTGGTCCCCACAGGCTCATACATAGAGAAGGCTTGTCTATCCCGGCGGAGGGGAGCGGACGAGGGTGCGGTTAGGCCGGAGTCTCCACCTACCCCTCCTCCACTGCCTGTACCCCTTACCCCACCGGACCACAGCCCTGTGCCACCACCCCCGGTCAGAGCTCCCCCGGCCCCAGCCTGGGCCCCCCGCAGCACGCTGTTCTCCGTCTGCATCCGCGTGATCTACAGGAATGGAGGGGCATCACGGGGAGTCACAAACACACATACACAAACACAAGGACCAAAGAAAACACAACAGTTGCAGTGCGGATGGTTATGACATGCTGTGGGCGACAAAATGGGGTAATTCTGATAGACAGGAAGTTTAAGGTTGTCTGAACAAGGAAGGGCTTCATTCTCAGTGAGACGTACATGGTATATGATAGTTACACTACCATTCAAAAGTTTGCGGGCAGTACGATTTTTTTATAAGTAATTAATACTTTTATTCAGCAAGGATGCATTAAATTGAGCAAAAGTAATTGTTTTTTTTAAACTTTCTATTTATTAAAGAACCCTGGAAAAACATGTATCACGTTTTCCACACAAAAAAAAAAAATTAAGCAGCACAACTGTTTCAGCATTGATAATAATATGGAAAGTTGTGACACTGATGGAAAGCTGAATTTTCAGCTTCAGTCTTCACAGGAGTAAATTAAATTTTATAATATATTACAATTATTTATACAGTTATTTTAAATTCACAATATTGCTGTTTTATAAGTTTTTTTATCATTTAAATGCAGCCTTAGTGAACAGAAGAGACTTCTTTCAAAAAACCCAAACTTTTGACCAGTAGTGTACGCGAATACAGTTCTGCTGTTTGATGGTTTGGGATCAGTTTGTGTGATGGTGAGATGTAGTTTTTGGCAGCATTACATTTCTATCTGTGTGAAATACTCATATTTTTAAAACAAGGACACACAGTTTAAATAAAGTGGGTGGGCGCACCTCCTTCTGTAGCCTCCGCAGCTCCTCACTCAGGTTGTTGTTGACCTTCATGAGCTGTTGAACTTTGGCCTCAGAGGAGGCCAGTGCTTTCTTCACCTCCAGATACTCCTGTAGTGTGATGGGCCCATCTGACAGGTCGGATGAGTCCATGCTCTAATACACACAACACAAATCACAATCTAATGTCAACAGCAAAAGGAACAGATTTGAAAAGGTGATATTTTTTTCCAAAACACATACTACAATAAATGAATGAAATTCATAATTGTGTATTTACATTACTGTTCAAAAGTTTGGGGTCAGTAAGATTTTCTTTGGAAAGAAATGAATTCAAGCAAGGACACATTAAATTGATCAAAAGTGACAGTAAAGACATTCATTAAATGTTACAAAAGATTTCAGTTTAATAAATGCTGTTTTTTTTTAAACATCAGCCTTGGTGCGCATAAGAGACTTTTTTCAAAAACATTTAGAAAATCTCACCAACCTCAAACTTTTAATTGGTATTATAAATTTAAGTCAAAAGAGCTCACCACAATGCTATATGACATTTATATTCCTAGATTTGTCTGAGGTTTTTTTTTATTATCATTTGGCATGCAAAAATCTCAGCACAACAAGTCAGATCATTTGAAGTATTAATGCCCATATGTATTTATAAACCTAACATTAGTATGGAGATTTTAATTAACGTTATTATAAAGCATTACCAGAATGGATTATGTAAAAGAATATTTTCATCCAAAAAGCACTAAAAAGTCAACCATTTTGAGTTAAAAAATCAATGATTGTGCAATATGACAAACAGCAGTGCTACTGGAGAAGGTGTTGTAATATGAGGTTTACTCTTGTTCCGCTACACTCAGCCATGTCACTTCCGGTGTGTGTGGAGTGAGCATGCTCAGACACAGCTTCCTGTCTTCAGCTGCAGAACAATAGCTTCACTGATCACAGCCTTGAAAGGGGATGATGTCATTCTGCAAATATGAGGCAGGGCTGCTGCTACTGTTCTTCCAGTGGTGCATGCAGGGACATGACAACTCTGGCGTCTGTACTACTTCTGTATATACTAATTTGCTGGTCTGGCAAAACCAAGATCAACAACTACCAATGCCTAACCTATAATATAAGAAATTAAACATTTCCCAAGATTCAGTGGATCATCTGAAATTGTTTCACCAAAGGTTTTAATGTTCCTCAATTAAATCACGTGGTTTCATTATAAAAAACGAAGGACATCTGGATGGATGAACTCAAATCTTCCAACTTCTCACACTTATAATTAGGTTTAGGTGGAGTACAGAGATGATTTTCCCCAGGTAAACACCCAGTTACAATTTGATGAGCTCACCTTGGCCCGGTTGTTGCGGTGGGTGTTGTTGTTATTCTGTGCGGTCAGCTCGCTGTCTGTGTCTTCGTCAGACGCTACGCTGTCATAATCATGCTGGTCATCGTCTGCCTGACTCAGATCCAGCGGGTCTGAAAAACAACAAACACAAAAGATAACATCATTAATATGAGGAGAAACTGCACTGGCTTAGCTATATCCATCCTTACTGAAGCTGTATTATTGATTTTCTCCTAAAATCTCAGAGTTCGAGAAATGCAGTGTGGGCGTCTCACCTGTGGGGCTTGTCAGGCCTTTTCCATGCTGCCGCCGCTTGGCATCACTGAGAATGTCGATAATGAGGGTGGCGAATTCTCGTGCATTAAAGCGAGCCAATTTCTGCCGCCCCTACCAATGACAAAAACACACACAAATAAATACACATTATATACACTATCGTTCAAAAGTTTGGGGTCGGTAAGATTTTTTTCTTAAGAAATGAATACTTTATTCAGCAAGGATGCTTTTGATAAAAAGTGACAGAAAAGACATTTACAAAGATTTACATTTCAAATAAATGCTGTTCTTTTGAACGTTCTATTCATCAAAGAACCCAGAAAAAGTGCATCAAGGTTTCTGCAAAAATATTAAGAAGAACTGTTTTCAACATTGATAATAATAGGAAACAAGTAAGAATCAGCATATTAGAATGATTTCTGAAGGATCATGTGACACTGACGACTGGAGTAATGTTGCTGAAAATTCAGCTTTCCATCACAGCAATAAATTACATTTGACAACATATTGAAACTGAAAACAGTTATTTTAAATTGTAATAATATTTCATAATATTACTGTTTTTACTATATTTTTGATCCAATAAATGCAGCCTATGTGGGCATAAGAGAGACTTTACATTAAATTATCTTAAAGATCCTAAACTTTTGAATGGTAGCGTGAATCATTAATGTGTTTTTTACAGTTATACTCTTAAAGTTTCACACTAATTTTAGGGCAAAATTCGTGGAATTTGGCTGAACAGATTAAAACTTAAATGGAAAGAACAACATGCTTTTTATAACCGAATATGAAAGTTTTGGGGAATAAGTAGAATTTTATGAATGATGGCCTTAAAGGAAATCTGCAGGAGTCTGTGTCTGATTATAAGGTGAAACTTGCAAAGTTTTATTTGAGCACTTAGTCACTCTGCAATGCATATTACAGAACAGTCTATTTTAGCTAAGGGAGACTTGAACATTTTAAAGGCTGGAAAACACTGCCACATCAACAGTTCACTGTTCCAACTCTTGACCACTGGGTGTGCGTGTCCCTCCTCCCATCATCTCCTTTCATGTCTCATGTATACGCAAAAGAGCAGGAAATTCTCAGCCTGGCCAATCAGCCCGCAGGAAACATGCCCCCATGTGAACGCACTTAGTGGTCTTGCTGTATAAAAGAACTATTTCTCTTTTCAAACAGAAATACAGAGAAGGTCATGCAAGGATGCCAGTGGAAACACAGAGGGGGAGGGAGCAGTCGCGTGTCTGCAGCAGTTACGCAGCTGGAAAACATCCGTTCGTTGGTTTGCTGGCCAAACCCGGGCCTCAGTCAGACGTTCGTACAGCCACAAAATGTCTATTTTTAGCACTGCACCCTAGATATCATCTCTCCTTTATGCCTCCATCAAAAACAGGCCCGCGTGGAAGTGACGGCCGCTTACGCAAGGGGGAGCAGGAGTGGAGAGCTTCCTCCCAAACATACTTCAAACACATCCTCTGAGGCTCAGGAATAAAATGCTGTGCGTGTTACCTGGTTGCGTGTCGCTGAGTATTCAGGGTTGACGGGTAAGAAGGGGACGGCACTCCGTTCGGTCACAAGCGTACTGTGGTTCTGAGTTGTCAGCCACACTGAGAGAAACAGAACGGACAAATATAAACAAGACAAATATATACAAACAGATTCCGATGTCGTAGCCCTGAAGTTATGGAGAGTACGCATCTACCCCTCCCGTTCAGTTTGTGTGTGTTTGGCCCCCTGCCTCGCTCACAGCCCTGCTTACCATCAGAATCTCAGTCTGCCACCCCAGCATGCTACCTCTTCTCCTCTACAACCAGGAACGGGAGTCGAGAGAGAGAGTGAGAGAGTGAGAGGAGGAGGAGAGAATTCCTGCGGCACTCCCTCGCCCTCGCTCCCTTTCACCCTCCTTCCATCTAAGCACCTCTCCCTCCCTTCTCTACATGCTGACTGCACCGCTAAAGTCCTTCTATAGTCAGTGTTTATACAACACCCCGATCACTGTGTCTCCAGGGACACGACTACAACCGTCCCCACGCCTCTGGACAGCTCCATAACTACATTAGGAAAAGAGTGAGATGCAGGAAAAGCTGGGACAGGAACAGATGGGGGTTTGAGTCTTACCTGCATCATTCTCTCTACGGTCCACTTCGTCGTACACATCCATAGCCAGCTCCTCGAACAAGCGGTTATTTAACTGTGTCCACACACACATAAACATATCAGTATGTGGCATTAAGATTCAGGTATGGGGAAAAAGAAACACGAAATCACAGCAAAATCAGAGCACACACAACAGGAAGGCATCAGTGAGAAGACAAAACAAAGCAAGATGCTCCAACAAGGTACTAAATAAAGATTAAATGCAAGCTCAGGGAACTCAAAGCATCTGCTTAATATATCTACTGAATTTCGAAGCATTTGAAGAGTTTGTCAAACATACAGTATTCATCTCAAATCTCTCAAGAAAAAAGGCTAACGCTGTACCCAATTCCCAACTAGGAATTCCTACGACAAGTAAGTTTTGGACCAAAGAGATTTCAGAGTGGGTGGAGCTTCCCAGTGCAGAAATAAAAAACCTAATGACCAATAAAATGTCCTGTTTACTTGATAGAGCTGGTTAGGACAAAACCTCAGAATTAAAATCAGCATGAATAATTTATTTAATTTACTCTGTTAGCGGACATTGCTAGTCTTGTGGTGAACAACTAATCCGTGCCAGTTAATCCACATGAAACATTGGTTTGTCTTCGTAATCTTTAGTCGAAATCAAAAAATTAGCTTTGACTCTGAAATGGCATTCTTTTACTGATGACATCCTTTTGACAGATTGGGCAGATCATCCTTAACCACTCCCTGCAAAAAAATCAATACCTGCCCACTATTTTTTCTTATTCAATATTCCATTTAACTCAAAAGTATGTCAGAATACTGAAGTAAACTCAGACGCAACTTCCAAAAGTAAGCGCTTTTCTGTGGATGTGCCGATTCATTAGCCGCTATAACTAGAAGAATGACAAAGTCCAGTAAACAGTAAAACAATTTGCACTACAGACCAGTGTGTTTATAGCTATGACAAAACATTCAAATAATATGGTAATAATTACCAGTTTGCAATATCAAGCTGTTTTGTACAGCTAAAAATAACTGGAAGCGAACGACATTGGAAGCCAGACACATTCAATTTACAAATGAAAATTGAAACCGGTAAATGAAAAACCCGCTCTTACGTGAAAAATAAGGTGGATACTTCGGTTTGTACATGTACGCTAGGAGTACAGTGCTCGTGAAGTCAATTTCATTATTGGCATAATACGCACATGTTTGTGCACAGACAGATATGCATACTCGGTTTGCTAAGCTTACAGCCTCACACAAGCGGCCTGAATTTTTTTCCTCTAGTTAGTTTGTCCACAAGATGGCAACACCGCCACTGCCCATTGCTTCACATGGAAAATAAAGAAACGATCTAAACAACAAACTACAGGAGATGAGACGACAACAATAGATGCCCGTGTTGACAAGCGCATGGGTGAGGGGGTTACGAGATACACACAGCTCTAGTTTAAACGACTACGAAGGCTTTTTTATCGCTCATAATTTTCTGGAGAGAAATAGCACAGACAATGGACTATTGGAGGCACACTATCAAACGGAGAATACTGCTATGCATTTGGCTGTACACATATGTTGGTGTTTGCGTCAAACTGATGTATACTTGAAGTTTAACATGGAAAAGTTTTTATCGCTTGTTGCTTTGTGTTGTGCCTGTCTAAAAACTCAAATTCCCTTAAGTCTCTGTAGCAGCTCATTAACCTGCAATCACTCACCGCTTGAAGCTTCTTCTTGGCTGCCTTGGCCAGTTCAGAGAGGTCCAGGCTACGCAAAGACAAAGACAGACACAGGAGTAAAAGGATGCTGGAGTCATGCGGACAGAGAAAGATGAGGAGAGAGGAAAGGAGAGGGGTGGGAATGAGGAGCTGGATGAATGGATGAAGTGTGGGGACGGGACATGGGCAGCCCAAAAAGATGAGGAGATGTACTTAGGTTTTTGAATGAGGTCATGATAATGACTAATTTTCAAATCTACTGTTTGCTATTATTTACATAACTTTTATTCTATTAACATTAAGCAGAACGTAATTATCGCATTAACCTTAAGCAATAATGACTACATTACCTACAACAGCCTAAACCAGTGGGTTTTTTTTTTTTTTACTAAAACCATTATTTAGTTGTTTGGCTATTGGTTAACCTTACAGCCTGTGTGGCCAAGGTGAATTTTTGTTTTTCTGAGGTGGAGGACTGCATTATAACATGCACTAAACATTGTGCACAATAAGACAAGGAGGATGTATTTAGGTAGCAATGGTACATTTTGATTTCATTTTGACTTTAAATGTGTAAATAACCTCATCCCTTCAGACACCGCCACATCCAGATGAAGGTCATGTGAGAAAGAAAGAGAGCAGGGTTTATGGAGAGGGGGATGAGAAGAGAGAGAAAGAGATACCTCTGCGTCGGGCACTTGGGGCGAGCTCTGCCTCCAAAAGCGCAGCAAGATGGAGAGAACAGAGAACGAGTGAGCGAGACCGAAAAGTGAGCAGAAAACAGACAGAGAGAGAGAGAGAGAGAGAGAGAGAGAGAGAGAGAGAGAGAGAGAGAGAGAGAGAGAGAGAGAGAGAGAGAGAGAGAGAGAGAGAGAGAGAGAGAGAGAGAGAGAGAGAGAGAGAGAGAAAGAAAAGGGATAGACCCCATATCAACACTACTTCTGGATAGGTCAGTAAAGTTCTTTCAGCTGTGGTGCATTTGAGGTGTCAGCCCTACAGAGGTTGACGACACACTCTCTGCCCTAATGCAAACTGATTGACCGTGTGGCGCAACCTGCTGGCCAGCACACTCAAATACACCCGCTGCCAACTGATCCTAGTACACTTTATCTACCCTGTATGGGCAGTGCTATGGAAAAGACTTCAGGGAGGATATCATGCATAATGACAGGTAATAAATAAATATTTTTACGCAGTATTATTTCTATTTTGAATCAGACACACAACCTCACACAAACAATGTACCTGTCTGCCATCTGAGGGATAATATAATGACCGTTCTTGTGATCTGCAAAAACACAGACAAAAGAAAAACATGAAGTGTTCAATTTCATTTGGGAGGACAGATTGTCTGATTCACACCCCACTAATAATAAAAAAATTATTAAAGGAAATATTGAATACTGTAAAAATGGTTATTGGTTATAATATTCTAAGCTCACCTGGGCGACGGCCACACAGGTAAAAGGCCAGTCTGTCTGTGAGCTCATACTGACACTCCACCAAGCGCTCGGCGAGCTCCACGTGCCCTGCTTGCCTACAAGAACACAGTCACATCACAAACCCAAGACTCTAGATCACTATAAACTTATAATAACAAGAACAATATATATATAATATATAAATCCCGCAACTGTTTAAATGTTTGAGGTAAGTAAGATTTTCTTTTTGAAAGAAATCAATACTATTTTTCCAACAAGGATGTTTGAGTAACAGTAAAGTAACAGACATTTATATTAGATTAGAAAAGATTTCCATTTAAAATAAATGCAGTTCTTTTGAACTTTCTGTTCATCAAAGAATCATGTAAAATATATCACAGTTTTCACAAAAATATCAAGCAGTTTTTTGAGCACCCATTTCGCATATTAGAATGATTTCTGAAGGATCACGTGTCACTGAAGACTGAAGTAATGATGCTGAAAATTCAGCTTTGTATATTAATATATTGTATGTATATATATATATATATTCAGCTAAATATATTAAAATAGAATAATAATAACAATAATTTTTAATTGTAATAATATTTCACAATATTACTGCTTTACTGTATTTCTGATCAAATAAAGGCAGACTTGGTGAGCATAAAACAGACTTCTTTCCAAAAACACCAGACAGATCATGGATGAGGAGCTAGTGACCCCTGTGTTTTGTGTTTACCGGGCATAGTCTATAGGTGTCCGGCCGTTGATATCTGGAGCTCCTGGATCCGCCCCGTACACCACCAGCAGCTCGGCCTGCAGAACCTGCCCCGCTTTGGCGGCCACATGCAAAGGGGTCGTGCCCTTTTCCTGTGGAGGGAACATCAGATGTTTGACCACCACAGATTACAAGCTCTGTTCACTCCGCTGTTTTCAAATACAAGTCATGAAATCTAAACCTTTCTTTTCAGACAATGTAGTCAATATCTGATGTATCTACATTGTTTGACATAGTAATAACTTTAGAGAAAAGAAAGGACAGAAACCTTTAAATATTTTGGTTTGGAAAGTATTTATGCATTGGATCAGATTTTTAAAAATCAAAATGTATAAACAGTTACAGGATACAATGAACAATAATGTTCATAGTTTGACACAGAAACAGATTCTCTGTTCCCATACTGAACAACACAAAATTGATATCTAACAATCTACTAATCATAAGATCTGTGGAGAGAACTGTGTGAGATGGCAGATCTTACCGGGTGAAAGAAGTTGGCTTGTGCCCCCAGTGACAGCAACCGTAAACACGTCTCCAGACTTCCTGTCCGCACACTTGAGTGCAGTTGCTGCAGGCAACAACAAGAGAATAAGTGAGTGTGTGAGAGAGAAAGACAAAGAGACCAGCAAGCAGACCTCCTGCGTATCCTCTCATTAGGGACGTTCAATAGCACTGAGGAAGGCACATTTATTCACTAGCGGGGTGTCATTTTAAGGGCCCTCCTGCAAGGGTACAGACAGAGGGGAGCAGAGAGAGGCCGAGGAGCAAAGATTGAATGAGAGCTAGAGGGAAGAGACTGAAATAACGAGTCCAAGGTGATGTCTTGGGGCGGTCTCACCTTGCTGAGGTCCTTCGTAGTGACCCCATCATCATCACGGCAGGGCAGCTTGTGGACAAAGGCTAACATCTGATACTTGGCGCGAATGAACTCTGACTTGGTGGGGCTGTGTGTTGAGAGATACAAACATAGATAAAATAAATCAATTTCAAAGTCAATGAATCAATCAATATAAAATGGGACACATGGTCCTGCTTACATAGATACAGTCAAGGCAGTTTGTTTTAAAAATGGTTCCTTCTCTGATGTAATTGACTCAAATCAAACCATACAAATCATCAATTAAAGATCTGGAAAACCAGATCTTATCTTACCATAAAAAGTTTAGCTTGGTCTTTCCCCATTCAAATGAATAGAAGCTGTAATTGTTAACAGTACTTGTCTGCTGTTTGTATAGCCTGGGAAAACCCAGACAACTGCCGGCAAATTTAGATTTGCTCTGAAAGTTAGTCTGGCAAAGAGCTCATTCAAGCCCATTTCCAATCCGTCGAAATCGAGGCACCGATCAGAAACGTTGGGGCGGGCTTTACACGATGACGACAGCGCTGGGATTTTGAAGCAGGTTTTGTAGCCTACATTACAAAGATGGATGCCGGCGTCGAACATCACTCGTTCGAATCAGCTATCGCGTCTGTTTTAAGCGATTTGAATGTTTCCTTTTTGTTAAAAACCGAGCAAAGAACAACACTCGGAGATGTTTCTCCACCGCTCTGCATACGTCATCTCCTTCATCGCTCTGATTGGTTTTAGGTCTATCCGCGACGTCCGTTGGTGACGCCCCTCTGGAAATGATTTGTCTATGACGCTTTGCCAGACCATAACTCAGTTACAACTGAGAATGGTCTGGTTTTAACCAGGCTACTGTTTGTAACAAATATGGTGAAAACATATTTATATATATATATATATATACACTCACCGGCCACTTTATTAGGTACACCTGTCCAACTGCTCGTTAACACTTAATTTCTAAGCAGCCAATCACATGGCGGCAACTCAGTGCATTTAGGCATGTAGACATGGTCAAGACAATCTCCTGCAGTTCAAACCGAGCATCAGTATGGGGAAGAAAGTTGATTTGAGTGACTTTGAACGTGGCATGATTGTTGGTGCCAGAAGGGCTGGTCTGAGTATTTCAGAAACTGCTAATCTACTGGGATTTTCACGCACAACCATCTCTAGGGTTTACAGAGAATGGTCCGAAAAAGAAAAAACATCCAGTGAGCGGCAGTTCTGTGGGCGGAAATGCCTTGTTGATGCCAGAGGTCAGAGGAGAATGGCCAGACTGGTTCGAGCTGATAGAAGGGCAACAGTGACTGAAATAACCACTCGTTACAACCGAGGTATGCAGCAAAGCATTTGTGAAGCCACAACACGCACAACCTTGAGGCGGATGGGCTACAACAGCAGAAGACTCCACCGGGTACCACTCATCTCCACTACAAATAGGAAAAAGAGGCTACAATTTGCAAGAGCTCACCAAAATTGAACAGTTGAAGACTGGAAAAATGTTGCCTGGTCTGATGAGTCTCGATTTCTGTTGAGACATTCAGATGTTAGAGTCAGAATTTGGCGTAAACAGAATGAGAACATGGAACCATCATGCCTTGTTACCACTGTGCAGGCTGGTGGTGGTGGTGTAATGGTGTGGGGGATGTTTTCCTGGCACACTTTAGGCCCCTTAGTGCCAATTGGGCATCGTTTAAATGCCACGGCCTACCTGAGCATTGTTTCTGACCATGTCCATCCCTTTATGGCCACCATGTACCCATCCTCTGATGGCTACTTCCACCATGTCACAAAGCTCTAATCATTTCAAATTGGTTTCTTGAACATGACAATGAGTTCACTGTACTAAAATGGCCTCCACAGTCACCAGATCTCAACCCAATGAATAGAGCATCTTTGGGATGTGGTGGAACGGGAGATTCGCATCATGGATGTGCAGCCGACAAATCTGCGGCAACTGTGTGATGCCATCATGTCAATATGGACCAAACTCCCTGAGGAATGCTTCCAGCACCTTGTTGAATCTATGCCACGAAGAATTGAGGCAGTTCTGAAGGCAAAAGGGGGTCCAACCCGTTACTAGCATGGGGTACCTAATAAAGTGGCCGGTGAGTGTATATATATATATTACACACACACACACACATATATATATATATATTATGTAATCAAAATTATTGTAATATTTTCATTATAGTGATGCCTGAAAGAGAGATTTTAGGAATGTAGATTTTCTCAATGCACTCGCTAGTGGTAGATGTGGCAGAAAGTTAATTTTGGACCCAGATTCATGGATCCATGTCTCTGCTTGATTGTATTTAAATACCTAAAACTTTATTATTAATATTAAATCGAATGATGTACTTTTGCTTTATTATTAGAGCTGCGAATAAAGATGGTACAGCAAATTATTGAAAACAGATGTGCCTGAACTTTCGTCACCTGTATGAGCGTATGTGCGCGAATAAGACTGGGCTAACCACTGCACCACTGCTCTGACAAATTACTCTTTAATTACTCTGTATTTTACTTTTTTTTTTAAATCTCCTCTCATTTATTCTGAGTGAGCAGATTTGCAAGTCTGGTCTCAGTGGTATGCTATTACATGGAGCTCCAGGAGAACAATTATATACTGCACGGACCAATAAAACAAAAATTACACCCCCAGTCTTCTGTTTTTATGACATTCTGTTATATAATGCATGAATGGTTGATGGGATGGCTTACTGGACTTTATCTTGTGGGTTTGGTTTCCTGCGCCCACTCTGAACTTGTGCTGGATCCAGCAGGGAGTGTTCCCAGATCGAGTTAGCGCCGTTACTGGCCAAGGTCTGCACCATCTGAGACACATGCACGCATTTGTTAGGCTACGATCTAGCAGAAGTACGTGTGTGCGAGAGGCTCTTTAGTTACCTGCAGTAAGGAAGGAGGCCAGCCGCTGTGTCGCAGGTGTTTGACGATGGAAATGTGTCGGCCCAGGCTCCGGTGCACAGAACAGCATTCATCACAAATCAGAACCCCTCGGTTTATACTGCTCCAGCCCGGGTCTGAACACACATGATAGAGTAAAGTACATTTCATCGAGAGAATGAGCAAAAGACAACATCAATCGAGGGCTGACTTTTCTAAAAAAAAAAAAAACTAAAAAGGCACATGAAGGCAGGATGTAGAAAGACTTACTCGTTTTGCTTAGACCGATCACAAAAACAACAGCATTTTTATATTCTTGGGTCTTCTACCTACATCTTGTGTACCTTATTTTGGTCTTTCTTTTTGGTGCTATATTGAACACTGTTGTCATTGATTCTGCTGATGAAGAAAATGTCACCAAAGTCTAGTTAGGTAACACAGGTGAGGTTGTGGAAATTGTGAGAATGATTTGTGTTAGAATTATAAACAAATGAAATCATTTGGCCAGCAAAAGTGCATTCATGAATTTATTGCTGTCATGTTACATTATTTAAAGTTGTATAATTGCCGGCTTTTATTGCAAATTAAAGACGCAAATATGTGAAAACAATGTTTAATGAAATTATATAGATTTTTTTTCTAATGCTGCAAAAATGAAATAATAATTTTATCATTTTTAGTGGGGCTGGTGAAAATAAATAGACATCTGAGGTAATGGCATAAAAAAGCTTTATTGTTGGGCCATGCAGTCCACACCATACTGTCCTCCTCTGAATGAGTTTGTCCGAGGCAAAGGGCTCTCCTCATATGAGGCAGGGTACGAGCGTAGTAGTCAGGACTCAGGACCGATCAAGTGTGACAGAAGTGTGCCTCTGACTAACACAGGCCCCCAGAATCTGGCTAAAATTAAACCAGCACCCACAATCCTTCAAGCACATAATCTCATCCACAGAATCTCAATAAGCAGGGGTTTGATATGATTAGAATGAGAGATTTTTTTTGCACAAATGTAAACAGTGTCATAACATGATTATTGATTTTCCGTATGAATGCAAACACAATATGACATCTAAAAATGGAAGATATTAATACTGATATGTAGGAAGCAAGTTTTTATTTTTTTACCGTTTTTAAATTAAAAACAGTAATATTATGAAATGTTATTACAATTTAAAATAACTGTTTTATAAAATGTAATTTATTCCTGTGATGGTAAAGTTGAATTTTCAGTCTCATTCCAGTCTTCAGTGTCACATGATTCTTCAGAAATCATTCTAATATGCTGAGTGATTTAGTGCACAAGAAACATTTCTTATTATTATCAGTTTTGAATTAATTAATTTTTCCAGGTAATTGTGACTGATTTAATGTATCCTTGCGGAATAAAGGCCTGTTCACACCAAGGACGATAACTATATGATAAAGATATAGTTTCAAAAATCGTTCTAAATTTAAAAGAATAGCAGAGTTCACACCACAACTATAACGATAACGGCACAGAGGAACGATTTCATTGGAATGTTGAATGTGAACAAAATGTTTTTTTTTCCAGCTGATGAATAATAAATACATTGCCATCCAAACAGAATCCATCCTGTCATCTTTAAAGAGAGTTAAAGAGCTTGAGGCAGATGACGCAACTTATAATAAACCGAATGTTACCATGCGTTGGTGTGGACACTAATATAGTTATAGTTCTCTTGATGTGAATGGGCCCTAAAAGTATTAATTTCTTTAAAAAATAAAAAATCCTGACCCCCAAACTTTTGAATGGTAGTGTATAGGCTATACAATTAAAATATGGCAAATAAAACAAACCAAATCATTATAATAAGTGTTAATTTAACTCTCACATTCACTCAATTCACAAAGAAATATACATTTATACGATCATACGATATTTTTTTCTTTTAAAGTAATAGAAGGCATTCAATGTAAAAAAAGAAGCCTGAATTAATGTCAATTAAAAGGGCTGCTTGTTTCCTTACTTTAGGAGAAGAGAAGGCTTATTTGAATCCACAAAATATTCATATACAGCCAAAAGTTTAAATCTTGCATGTGGTGAAGAATTTAAGATTTATTGGCTTAGTTGAAAATAATATGGTGTTATTAAATCCCCTTTACTGTCTAAAGATGGGCAGACATCAGAGATAGAGCTGAGCACCTGCATGTGGGAAAATCAAAGATGACGCCATACTTCTTAACTAACATGCTCATCCTTCCTATAAGTGCTTGAAACCATTAACAGGAACATCTTTATCCCCCCCCCCCCATCTCAAACGTGACTTTCTCTCTGCGTCTAATGAAATTTTACATACACACGTACGCACACAGACTCAATGCACACGGCGCCATTCAGTCCTGAGTGGCCATGCAATTGACAATCTTCCACACATTCATTCATTCTCCTAACACATTTACCAGAATCCATCTGTCTGTCTGCCCACCACCCCTCCTCCTCCTCCTCTCTCAGTCATCAGTTCCTCACCTTCCGACACACTCACCATTAGCTACTTTCCTACATGTCAAACACGAAAATGACAAGCTCAATCAGCACCGCACGACAGGCCAACGCAAGGACAAGGAGTGTGAGAGGATGCAAAAAGCCACACACAAGCACTCAGATGTGGAGTGGTCAGCCAGGGGCATTTTGTGACAGTGTTTGAGGCCGACCTTAGAACATGACTGCAGGTAGCTGAGGTGGTGAAACAGAACTAAACTGTCAAAAACGAGACACACTCCCGCATACACGTACATTCCTGGAGAGAGAGCAGCTGTGGATGAGGGAGCAGCTGTCATGCCCCCCGTACCACACCCCTTGGTCCCCCCCCCCCCCCCCAATATGTTTTGAAAACAACTAGGCTAAAGGCTTATTATGTCTTTATTGGGTGGTTAAAACGGCTGGTAACTTATTAAGCAATAGCCTACATTTTGGGACAAACGGGTAAAAGCCAGACAACGTAGGAAGTTCATCTTTATTTAAAACATAAATGCAGGGTCAACTTCCATTTTTTTCACTGTAGTATTTATTTAGGAAATTGTTCTTTGTCTGAGGGCACGTGTGATGGGACTAGAAATGGTTATCAACAACTCAAACATATGCTCAACTATGTTGCAACCTTGATCAGTGGAAAACCTATGTTTTTGCCACTGCTATAATCATTACAGAAATAAAGAACCTTAAACCAGCATAAGCTTGTTTGAGGTTTTTAGCTGGTGTCCAAAACTGGTCATATTGGTCTGTTGGCTGGTTTTAGAGGGGTTTTGGGCACTTTTCAGCTGGTCATGCTGAGAGACCAGCTTGAAGACCAACTACGCAACAGCTTAGGCAGACTGGGAGACCAGCTTAAACCTGCTAAGACCAGTAAACCAGTTTTGGCTGGTTTAAGCATTTTTTATGCTTTTTAGAATAATAAATGATATACAGCAGCACACAGAAATATTCCTGTTGGAAAAAAGAATTATATACGTATTATATAAATTAAGTAAATCATACGTCTAATAATCAAATAATGCCATTTATAAACTTTGAAACAGTATAACAAAACAAATGACTAAACATACAGGAAATGTGTAACTAATCAATATCTACCCACAAAACAGTTATCTAGAAGCAAAGTTGTGTACAAACACAAGCAAATACTGACCCACGTCAGAGTTTGATGTGTCCTGTCAACCTGCTAACGCTACTAAGTTACTAGTCTCAGATTAAGTTCAGATTAACTAGATTCGAAAACAGTACCGGACAAACTGAACTAGTATTCTGGTAGCCATAATGCATTTAACGTTTGTAAAAACAGGAATGTGTTTTACTCAAATACTGGCAAGGAAGTCATACAAGAGTCCGCAGGCTACTTAGCAACCGAGCCTAACTACTGTCAGTTAGCATTGTTCGCTACAGTGCCCTTTTCGTGCTCAATATTAACTAAAAACTCACTTTTAATCAACATAATTAGCTGTCACTACAATATGTGCCTATACAAGGGTTGGCCTATAGTATAAATCTGCTGCTTTTAATTGACAGCAGTCCGCAGCCTTGTCAACTGGCTTAGGATGAGTGCTAACAAGCAAAGGATAAAACTTTAGCCACGGAAGCAGGGTAACGTTAACGTTAGCTGCAGTTAGAAGCTCAAATTTATAGCCATAAAAGTAGTAAATATATATGAAATGATCTAATTTATGGACAATTGTTCTGTCGCATTATAAACCGTAGATACACGCAGTAGTAAATTAAGAGTGGGTTTAAGGGAGGGAGCAGATATGTTGGGCCGCAGTATCGTCCTTAATATTCGGCCACTTTCCTGACGCGCTTAACCGAGTATCCCTGCGCATATGTGGGCTTGCTGTTCGCCCGCTTGCCGCCGCGCTCGACCGAGTTCGGGACAGCCTTACCTCACAACAACGCCTCGATCCATAAATCTCAGCCTTACCTGGTGCACTGCAGTCGGCGCACACCTCGGTTCTTTGGACTTTCCTGGACATCGCTGAAACCAAATCTACCGCTTCCAAAGATTTTAGTCCAATACTTAATATATTTGGCTTGCTGTCCCCCCAGGAGCGACGTCTGCGATTTTAATGCCGCCCTGAATGTCCGGAAGCCGGCGACGAGCTCTCCAGTGCTCCCGGTCCTCACCCTTCTCTCTCCTTCCTTTTTTCTGCGGTGTCTTCTGGCTTAACGCTGCAAGGATTTAACAATTCCTCTGAATGAATCAAAATTTTCACAAGGCCCCTTACGTTATCAGATTATTTAATATTGGGCGTCCCCACTAATGTTTTTCCCCCGACCATTATCCAAGCCCCGTCTCTGTCTCGGGCAAAAAGGGGGTGGGAATAAGAAAAGTATGGATACAGTACACGGTTTATTTACATCCACTGCCCTATACACTTGACTTCTGCACGGCGGGCTGCATACTCTCCCTCTCTCTCTGACGTCTGTCTCTCGCTCTCTCGCTTTCTTTCTCTTGCCCCACCGTCGTTATTGCACAGGCGGGGGCAGACAGAGCGGAGGGACCATGCAGTCATGCCCACCAGTGTAGATGAATTTTACATAACTTTATTTGCATACCTACAGTCCCCGAATTAATAAACTTAAAGTAGCCGAGGCCTATAAATAATTAAATAAAATATACAAGATTTATTCCGTAAATTGGATATGGTCAAGAAAATAACACTACCCTACACAGGGGTTAATATATTTTAATACTCCACACATTCTATTCTATTCTATTCTATTCTATTCTATTCTATTCTATTCTATTGAGCCATCAAAATATATGTAGGCCTACTTGTATTTATTTATTTCTGGATAGGCCATTGAAATAAACTATGCTTTTTTTCTGTAAGTGTGTGAATAATGGGTTTTATTGTCACATCTGTAACTAGAAACAATAAAAAATGCAATGAAAAATTGCACAGTGGCTCAATAAAAACCAATAGAAATCTGCAAGCAATAAAGTATAAAATAGCCTATTTACTAAAGCAATTGGGGGCAAAAAAGTAAACCAAGGCTATGCATATATCTTTTTGATTTGACTTTGTTTCATGTATATTTTAACGTTACTTTGACTTCATTTGGAATTTTATATAGGCTAATATGAATCCATAGTTGCTTTAGGGTTTCCACGGCAGCAACACTGACATGTTTATGTATTGTGATCATGTTTTATGTGAGAAAGCAAATTAATAATATTATTCAATAAACTTGAATATTTGGTCATTTTGCAGTTTTAGCTATATGGCTTATATTGCTAATGTACAGTCCTCTAGATGGGTGGATGATATAGCCTATCAAGGTGTACGTTTAGATATTATTATCAATAGATATTAATAATATTAGCACAATAGAAAATAAATATTTTATTTTATTTTAAGTACAGGCCTATAGAAATATTAAAATCAAAGTTGAACAAAACTCAGTTTGATTCTATGGCAGTCATCATGGGACATATCACAGAATAATTAAAACAGATTATTAAAACATTTGACAGAACAATTAAAACATGATAAAATCAGCACAATAATTGTTTCGTTATATTAGCCTATATGTTCCATTCTGTATAGAATATAATTCTAATCTAGAATTGAATTTATGTTCTGATTCTGTTAATAAATTATATTGTATCTATGATATATTTATTAAGAAATACAGTATTTAAACAGATGGCAGCATGAGATGTTCTCTCTATATCCTCTCCCATGGCGCAGTGAGCAGCATCAGCATGTATGACAGAATCACACACACTGAAGTTCAATGGCTCATAGACTGTCGGTGCGAGTCGCTTTCGAGAGCCCTGCCTCAGCCTCCGCGAGCGAGCGTGTGTGTGCGCGCGCGCGTTTGAGCGAGAGAGGAGAGGGAGAACAGACAGACTAGGAGGAGTGGGGAGAACAGCGGAGAGCATTATTACACACGCGTTAGCTTTAAATTGCCTTTCAACATAGAGACATTGAATGCCAAGCTACTATGCAAAAAGGGATGCTGGATACGAAAAGGGAGAGAAATGCCCTTATCGGTCGTCTCAGCAATAATAATATAGCACGCGCCCTTTACAAAAGTAACTGATATCGCACAAAAGCAGGGAAACGGAACGGGAGAGAGAGCAGCAGCGAACTATGCACTGAGGATGATTTCTGCCAGAAAAACTCCGGAGAAGAGTCGCTACCACCTGCATTATCTGGTGTGGCATAACAAACACCGGCAGCTGGAGAAAGAGCTCTCAGCGCGCGAGCAGGTAAGATGCGTTCGTTTCCGCGTTCCTGTATCGCGGCGGATGATGCTGTGAGGAACGGCCCGTTTGATAGGGAAACTGATTCTGGTACTTCATTCGGCTTGTAATCTTTGATGCAACGGCGAAAAAGTGATTTTTCTTTGTTTTCTGATCCATTATACATACGTCCATTTATATAGGGTGGTTTGCTGATATGCCAACTACAAACAGAAATGAATGTCAAAAACCTCACACCCTGGCTGTGTCTTCAAACCTATTGAGTTGCCTATAGATAGACCGCATTTTTGGGCGTATTGTAACGTTCGAACGCATAGTTTCGACACAGTCCCTATTCTCCAAACCTTCTCATGTTACGCGTCTGTCCATTTAATGTGGAAACGTGATCAGAAATGCAGTTGAATTGTATTTCGATCTGAGATGCTTTTTAAACACAGAGATGCTGCACAATAAAGTGTCATTGCATAAAGGCTGTGGGTGAATAATGCTTACAGATCGGAACTCACAGTTCCTGAGGATAGATGGTGTGTCTGGAGAGGGTGTGTTTGATGTGCTTTATGATCAACCATCTTCAAAAGAGTTAAATAAGCATGAAATGAAAATTCACCCTATGTATTTTCTAAATGCATGTTATTGATCTTGTGAATGATTCATCCACGCATGTTTATTTTTACAGTTGTTTTGACCTCTTAATCTTTAATCAGAATGTCATAACTTTCAGTCAAATGACAGACTTCTCTCTGCTTGACTTCTCCAATCATTTAGTCTGCCTGTCCGCCTCTTCCAGTAGACTGCAAGCTCGCATTTAGATCTGCCTTATTGAACCAAGTTCCTGTCCTACTTTTTTTTCTTTGTTGATAATCCATTTATGTATACATTACAATATGGAGGAAAAGATCTGGCGCTTCTTCAGTTACATCACAACTTTAATGCAACATTAATCCACTGATTTGTAGACATAGTCCATAAATCGGTGTGTGGCATTCATCTTTAATCTATTCGAGAGAGAGAAAAATACAAATAGATCAACAGACAAATAATGGTAAAACTGCAAAATAGGTGAAAAAAGAAACTAAATCTATTAAAACATTGCTATTTAAATTTATTCCAGTTAAAATATAAAATAAAATATTTAATATTATACAATAGATTCATTAAATAATACACAATTTGTTTGGGGTAACATGTCAAGCTATATTATAAAGTTAAAGAGACACATTAGAATGCATTGGAAGAGGCCAATGAAAATCAGAATGCATTTTTCTGTAACAAACAGAAGTTTAATTGAGATTGCAGAGCTGATTGTCCACTTCAGGTTGTATCAAGGCATCTAAATAAAGGTTCCAAAAGTTTTCATTGTGATGCCATAGAAGAAACTTTCAGTCAGCAGTTTTTAAAAGAACCTTTTTTCCTAGTATGTGAAGAACATTAATAATCTAAAGAAACTTTTCCCACCATAAACAAAAAAGAATGTTGAATGTTAAAGGTTCTTCATGGAACATAGTTGCCAATAAAAAAACTTTATTTTTAAGAGTGTGTATGCTCTTCATCAGACTTTCACTATTCTGGTTTAACTCTCTGTCTAATGAGTAAATAACTATAACTCATTTGAGCATGGTCATCCATCTCAGTTACAGCAGCCATTCACAATTCCATCTTTCCAAACCCCAAACAAACTGTAACTCACTCCAATACCAGCCATCTTGTTCCTGTACCGGTTTTTATGACTCAGGCTGACGGTAATAATTCAGACCCCTAACCCTCTTCATGATCACTGCGATATAAAGCACTTTCAGTTTAGATGATTTACAGGCCGCTGACAGCATAATCTAGCCACGTTTGGCATGGTGGGCTCAATGAGTCAAACCGAGTCCCTCCAGGGACGGCACGAGGCGCAAAGGGAGGTCAATGCTGTCTCGATTGTTCCTCTCCAGTGAATGGGGCACGTAGCCACCCTGACAAGGGGAAAAGTTGCTGCACCAGCACACAGGATTATGGGCTAGATGTTAGGTGTCAGTGAAAGAACAAAGAGGGGAAACAAGCTATTAGGATGGAGGAGAGCGAAAGGACGTGAATAGCAAAGAGATCAGGTGGTGGAGGAGGAAAAAGAAGTTACCAAGGGGAAAAGAAGCTCAATTTGCAGTATGCTTTGACGGTGCCATAAAACAGTCACGGGGGAGGAAGTGGACAGATGACAGCTTGGAGGAGAGCGGCAGGAAATTGAGAAAGAGTGAATGGAGAATGGATAGAGTGGGTGATTGAATGAGGAAACCAGAGAGAAGAGCACTGTCGGCTGATGCATTTACAGAGCCTAGCCTAGTCCAAAAATCAGAGAAATTGCATATAGTTTTATATTCTTCTGAGTGAAGTCAGCAGTGCCTCAGCAAATACGCAACAACACGGGGCCCTCAGCACATTTGCCATTGTCCACACATCTGTTCAGTTTTCTCGTTTGATATACTACCTCTCTTCTTCAACCCTCGGCCCTCCTGCACTCCACCCGTAACCCGACACTAATTGCTACAGAGCGTTGTCTCAGAGGACGAGTGTTGAGTGCGATTTGGTTAACTTATGAGAAGCTTTGGTAACACTTTAGAATGCTGTTCTGTCATTTATTAATAACCATGCAAAAACAAATGTGTAACGCAATATTAACATTCTATAGGTGTAATTTGAGGGTGGGACAGATGTCCCCACTTTTTGTCAGAGACTATACTGGCCCCACCACTTTTAGCGGCACGGATACCTAATACAAATGAAAATCTCCAGCAGAATATTCATTTCGTTCATTTGTTAAATAAGAGGTGATCTGGTGTTTTTGAAATCATACTGAGTGTCCGTTGCCGCTGTTATCAGTCTTCACACAGATGAGCGTTTCAATCTATCGTTTAAGTCAATTTAGCGTTTTATACAATGCAGATTGTTTCAAAGCAGCTTAACACCGTTGCGGAAACTCTCTGTTTGCTCCAGTTAAATCACAGAACAAAATGCACACAAACGTGTCCTGAATTTAAAAACTATACAAGGGCAGATTAGAACCCAGACATGCTTAACAAAAGTTTTACCACCAGACCATGAAGGCACAAGAACAGTTAAAGCAGATTTATGTATCTTACAATATATTGTATATAGTAGATTTTAAGGATAAAACTATCACGTTAAACATGACTTGTAAATAAATTAAACTCACTGTACAATTGAAAGTGAACATGAATTATTGTACATATCATATCTGATATAGCATTTAGCAATAACAAATTAGTAAGTAGTAGAGTTAATTCACTATTATCTAATCAGTATCTACTTTTTTCACCTCCCACCTCTGTTCATAATTAATGAGAGTAATGCACAATGTATAATAAATTCTAAAATAAAGATTATAGTTACCTATAGTAATTACTCAAGTCCTTCTAAATAAATTGCCTATTACTTGGATCAGTGTTCTAAAGTGAAAAGCATAATAACTCCCTTTTAATGACTGAAGTCATTATAAGCTTTTGAGGTTTTTGTAAGGCTTTAGTCATGACTTACCAAATCCTTCTAAAGGAATTACTGGCCATTTGGATCAGTATTCTAAAGTGAAGATCATGGTAACCCACAAGTAATGACTCAAGTATTGCTACATCGTTCAAAAGCAATTACTATCCAAAACCTTACAAAAACCTCAAAAGTTTACAATGACTTTTATTGCCATTACTAGAGAGTTGTCACTTTTCCCTTTAAAACACCGTTCCAAATAATTAGTAATTCCTTCTGAAGGATCTGGTAATACTTGAGTTGGATTGTACATTATGCATTATTTACATTAATTATGAACATGTAGTTCTTAGTAGTCCCCATAGTAGTTACTGATTAGATAATAGTGAATCACCTTTTCACTATTCACTCTTTTTTATGACCCGAGTAGGCGTCTGAACTGTGCTGGATTTGTCTGCTAGAGAATACTACAAGGCTCTATCATCAGCACTACTCATCTCTGTGATTTACATATGTTTGTTTTTCCAGTAAACATTCCCCTATTCTAATTTGGATATGCAAACATAACCTCAAACCATATAGTGTACTTAAGTGCGTCAGTATTTTACTTTTAAAGGGATGGTTATTGGTTCCTCAAAAAGTTTAGAATTCTGTCAGCTTTTACTCGCCCTCATATTACCCTTTTATTTATTTATTTATTTATTTATTTATTTGGATCCCCATTAGCTTCCACAATGTGGTTGCTAGTCTTCCTGGGGCCCATAAAAGTACTGAAACATATGTACAGTTAAAATGCACAAATATAATAAATATAACATTCATATAACATTACCACATGTATACATTTATCCACATATACACATTCACACTCATACAGCCCTTCATGCTCCCAGTGTTATTGTTAGCTAAAACAAAAACTACAACTACTGTATTAAATTTGTTAATTGAAATAAAGCTGAAATAAAATATAAGCAATAGATTTTTAAAAAAAAAACAATTTTAAAAATGAAAAGGAGAAATGTTGCCTTTGCAGCTAACTGAACTAAAATAAATTTAAGCTGAAGTACTAAAAGGATGTTTAGAAAACGATTGAAAAATACTATAAAAATTACAAAAGAAAAATTACTAATACTTAAATTAAATTAAAACATAAAACCAAAAGCGGTAACACTTTATAACTGCACGGTATTAATCAGTTAAGCATTAGTAAACAGTTAATTCATAATTTATAAAGCATTAATAGACATTAATAAGCAGTTTATAAATACAGCTATAAATGCATTATTCTTGATTTAAAAGCATATCTATAATGTGTTAAATAATTGTATTTTTATACTTTATTAATGATCAATTTATCATTTGTAAATTATGTATAGCATTATTTACAAACCAGTTTAGGAGTTGTCATTGATTCATAAGATCACTTATAAAGTGTAAGTAAATAGTAAATTCAGGTATAAAGCATTTAGTAGTGGTCAGTTAACTATTTTTGTGAGCTCATCTAAAGTGAGGACTATTTATGCCTTGTA